TAGCCAGAAATGCAGAAAAGGTTTCCCAGGACTATAAAACTGCTTGGATGTATCACATGATTTATATATCATAGAAAAACATCACCATAAGTATTTCTTTGCAAGTAGAAGAATGCAAAGTATTGTGGGATAAAGTCCTCGGGACCTTTGAACTCCCATACCAGTGACGCTCTTAAGTGTCGGGCATGCAACTTTCAATCAGAAATGCCAGTCCTAAGACTCCAACAGACATGAGCAGTCCAAGGTATGATGCTGGTGCACCATGGTTAATTAGGATTTGTAGCAGTAAGGAATACTGGGGAAACAAACACAGCTTGAACAAATAATACTTTTCTCAGAAAGATACAGGAGCCCAGGTCCCCAGGGCTGGGTGTTTCTATCATCTTCTCAAAAGAGAGGCAGATACAAACCCTAAAGTATGAATTCTTTTCTACAGCCTAACATAAGGGTTTTAGTAAAAAAACAAAAACTATAGATAATTTCTTGGAACCTCAGGGCAGAGTTCTTTGGGTTCAAATGGATGACACCAGAAGACTGAACAACTACTTACAAGGCCAGTAATGTTTGCAAAAATGGGAGTGATGGAGAATTGGAGTTGACCTTGTTTACATGTGGCCTGAGAAGAGCTCACTGCACTGTGTCAAACAAAACATCTCTTGCTGCTGCAGTATCCCAGGCATGGAAATGTTCTTCAGATATTTATCTCAGCCACTAAAGGGCCCTTGGAATCAGCTCAGGCATTTGGTTTCAATGCAGAAGTTGAAGGAAAGCCTGTCAGGTCTTTGGCACAGGCCCATCTTAGCATGTTACAGTTTGCTGTTATCTTCCCTGCAAGGGAGATTCCATACAATAGCCTCGAGGAAGATGTACAATTTATTATCAGATGGCCACCTTGCCAGCAGAATGGACTGCTTCAAGAAAGCCAAGCAATAAGCCACGACACTAGGAGACTCCATTATCCCATCTGGATGCCTGTGGCAGGAAGTATTTCCTCACTGCAGCATGTTACATTAATAAATCAACACTAATCTACCATTAATGTATTAACTTAAGAAAAAAAAACAATCAGCAGTTTCCATTTAGAAAGGCTCCTATCTGCCCAGCAATGAGGATGCTCTCCTCTCGAGCCTTTCTCCAGCCCACCCCAGAGCAAATACTGGGGCCATCCACACTGGCATAGCCCACCTTCCCTTTCCCCCAGGCCACACACTGTGCTGTCCTGTGTTTTGGCAAACTCACCCTCTGCTCGGAAGAGAAGAAGTGCTTCTGGGCTTCTTCAAAGACTCTCCAGTGTCAGCTCCGGTGCCTCAGGCAAGGCTCTTGACCTGCCCCACCCCAGCCCCAGCTCAACAGCCTACAGCAACCAGGGTTGGCTCTGTTACTGGCAAGGAAACTGTAGGGAAAGAGGAAGACTGAACATCTTTCTCAGATTATTTCCTGCCCTTAAAAACACTTTCTTAAGCATGAGGAGATAGGAAAGAGATCTTCCACTTTCCCAACTAAGATATTTGCTATTTTCTTTATCTACTTCCCAACAGGAACAATGTATTCTAACATCCGTTTGAACACTTAAATATATTTTATTCAAAAATTACTCCAAACTGTAGCAAAATAGAAATGCAAGTGAAGCCAAACCTATCCAATCTTTTTGTCTTCTCTCTAGAAGTCACAGTGATGACATACTTCTTAAGAAGCAGAGCCTTTGCCTGCGGCTGGCCACTGCCTGGAGATCCTGTGTCTGGCCTTTTGGGATTCAGGCCACATATGGACTGGGATGCTGGGAGAACTAACAACACTATATAAAGTTAGATTTCTCTGGAATAGAAACCTTCAGAGGTTAAATGATGTATGCATTAGCATCGTCTCTGGAATAGATTTTTGTTAGTTTTCCAGGCATCAGGAACAGAGCCAGTAGTTGCAGACAGCTATTCCTACGGACACCTGGGTGTGAGTTGAGCAGAGAGCTAAAGTACCTACACCCCACCAGGCTGATGGATAGCACAGCTCCTGCTGTGTGTGCGCTGCATCTCAGGACACCGAGCAGCCACCTGGGGGGGACAGCAAGGTGGCATTACCACAGTTCCTGAAGACTCCCTGTACACAGGTCTTTCTGCAGCACAGGGAGGGAAAAAGACTGGCACATAGGCAGCAGAAGGCCTGCACAAGTATTGGGCACTTTTTACATTGCCTGTGTTACCTTTTCCTTGCTGAGCTTTTATCCTGATTTTTGTGCAATAAAATCATGTTAATAAAACTGTGGATGAATAGAAAGGCCCTAAGTCAATCTTTGCATTTAGAAAAGTCTGGTTAGAACAGCTTAGGAATTGATTCCGATTTATTAAAGCACCTGTTCACCCAGGGAACATTTTAGCAGCAATCAATATGTAATTAAATCTTTATTGATGTTTTACAATTGTTTTGTTTCCCAGCAATTACAGTGATAGAATCAGCTTCCCATGATTGTTTCTCCTTTCCAGCTTTACTACTGATCTTGTGTGAGGATACTGGCAACTCGCTTAACATCTCCCAAGCTATTATTAATAAATTGGGATCACAAACACAGTGAAACAGCTCTAGTCCTGACACACTGTGCTAAGCACAGGCCAACAAGAAAAGCCAATCTCTGACCTGAATAACCCGATAACAATAATAACAGGGAGCTTTGGGATGATATAAGCACAAATGTTTCAGTGAAATCATCAGATAACTCTGAACTAAAATATGTTTGAAGGGCTGAATTTCATTAGGCTTTTCTAGTCAGAGTTTAGGTCCCTCAAATTTGGGATTGCTTTTCATTTGCTGCTTGTCCAACTTCAGGAAATGGAGGTGTTGCTGGTGCAGCCATGTAAATCATTCCCACTCCCTGCTCAGGCAGCCACGAATTCCCATTTGGCCTTTCTGAAATAATACCTCAAACACAGGGGAATGGATCATATTTTCGCTAAAACCTCATCACGTGAGTCTGGTCAGAGCAGTGCATTCCTGCAGAGACCCTTAGCCGTGCCAGTGCCAAGGGACTGCGGGGTAAAAGCCCCGAAACTGGAGTCCCAAAGGGGACAACAAACGCATCCTCCCCCTCCCACCCCTCGCCCCCGTTGTAGCCTTTACGGCAGCTGGGAGGGAGAGCAAAGGGGGAAAGGGGGCAAATCTCACCACACTGTACCTCTTCCTCGCCTCTCCCGCGGGAGCCCTGCCCGGAGAGGTGAAAGATGCCCGCGGTGCAGCCGCCGGGCTGCGCGCAGGCTGTGCCCTGTCCCCAGCAGATGGAGGTGTAAGCACGGCTTTCCCTGCCTCCCCTCCTCCTCCCGCCCCTGGCATGCCTCTCGTGGAAACCAGCGCCCGAACCAGCTCAAAAAAACAAACAAGCAAAAAAAAAAAAAAAAAAAAAAAAAAAAAAAAAAAAAAAAAACAAAACCACAACAACAAAAACAAAAACAAAAAAAAAACACAAAAAACAAACCAAAACAAAAAACACGCACACACAAAAACCAAACAAAACCCCTCAAACTCAAACAACAAACAAGCAGAAGGAAAACAAATAAAACCCAAACCCCAAACCAAACAAATGACAAAAAAAAACCCACAAAAAACACCCAAACAAACAAAAAACCCCCAACCCCCTCCAACCCAATAACAAACAAACAAAAACAACAACAAAAAAGAAACCCACACCACAACCCCCCTGCAAAAAAAGAAACCCAAAACCAGGGAAGGCTGATCATTGGTATCAACTAGAGCAAGTGACTGAATCAAGTGGAGCCTTTGGCCAGCAGAAGGGACGTGCAATTCCCTGTCCTTTGGTGCCTCTAGCCGGCCCATATCCGTCAAAAACTGAGAGAAGAACCCCTACCTTTGAAGCTCAGAGACCTGTCTCCAACTGATTTTAGTCCAGGTGAGGAATTGGGATATCAGTGAAAACACAAGCACTTAAAGGGGCAAGGATTGAAACCTCCTTCTCTTTGTGTTCACCAGAAGTGTGCAGATACCCTGAGCCCAGGTCCCAGGTCTGTGGCCTGGACTCCTTAAAACCTTTTAACTCACCACTCTGACTGCACTGGTTCCTGTTAATTTGAGCAGTGCAAGCAAGGTATTACCCCATGGCCAATAAATTCATCCACTTGATTGGAAAAGCTCCTTTCCTGAACACAATGCCTTTTGGTAATTACACATTTAAATGATTTGCTCTAAGTGTGGAGAATCAGTGGTCAAGGCAGACCTGAGCTTCTCAAACCATTTTATCCTGTTCTCTCTGTATCTCTGTATCACTGTCCACACATTTGGGGCCTCACTCAGCAAGTGGTAGGTGCAGTCATGGAGGTTGGAGGCAACTTCTGAGGGAGTATATGGACATCTGAGGAGTTACTGTGAAACTAGGAGCAGAAACAGGTCTGCTCCCAAGGGCAGGATATACTATATTCACTATAAACTAATCATCTACTCCAATTCTGATTCCCCCATGGTCTGACATTGATGTCAAGCCCTGAACTTGCTGATCTTCCTCAACAGACAAGCAAGAAGGAAATCAGGCACACAGCTTTCAACTTTCACATGCTTACAGCCAGCTTGGCTCTGCCATTCACTGCTCCTTGGGGAGACCCTACTGAAGTTATGCAGATAAGGCTGCTAAACCAACCCCCGTGGCATTCTGACCCATGCCCTAAAGCCTCATTAATATCAGGGACTCCTTCCAGACCCACCCTGCTAGCATCAAACGGTCCGCACTCTACCAGCTTATCCTAGTGAAGTTAGCAAGGCTTCAGGACAGCCCAAGCTTTGTAGAATTGTTCAGACTTGTGAAACAACTATAGAGGGTTTAAAAGAACCTTTACTTTCTCTTCAAAGCATCATACTTCACAAAGAATTAAAACAGAAGGGAAATTACAGTGAACAAAATAGAAACAAAAAAATTAACATTCCCCCTTGTGTTTGAAAAACTGTTGGGGAAGTCAATAGCATTTAATGTATAATGAGCATCCACAACCTTCAGAAAGCTTTGGAAATCTTGACTATTAATTTGATCTTCTTTTTCTCCCCACTTGGATCAATGGAAATATTTTCTACATGTACATTTTCAAGACCCTAGTTCGCTGTTAATTTTCTCTGTATCCTTTTCAACATCTTCCTCCTAAAGTTTGTCAGTCACTGCCACAGAGATTCATCAAGGCTGTCTTGTAATCGCCACTGGTGTCATCCTGACAGGAGAAAAAATTAAAAAATAGGTGAGCATGGAAGTTCCTCTATATGCTCAAATTGCTGACTTTGTCAGTCTGTGGAATATGCCCACACAGGAAAAGGATTTTGGAAAGAGCAAGCCAGACTTTAGCAGAGTTACTGCCAACTAACACACCATCAAAAGTGAATGGAGAAATGAGGCCTGTAGCTGCCACCTGAAATAACATTTATCAAGTCCAATTCTTTCCTTTAGAGTGCAGGTGAGCAATTGGTCAGGGTTCTGTCCTGCAGAGCAGCACGAAGTCAGCACAAATGAGAGCAATCAAGCCAGCTGTGTTCAGATTTTATATCCCTGGATATTTGTGTACCATCTCTTCCCTACAGGAAGGGAAAGGGTAGTAGAGTTAGCCCTGACACATGGTATTTTTTAAAAAGCCAAAACCAGGGTCATTTTTATCTAGAAGCACACACAAAATATTCGCTAGATAAAAAAATTTGCTCCCTTTGAATGTTTTGTCATGACAGGTGTAAAGCAGTTCCACTTCTCAGAAGGAATGAATATGCTGTACAGATCCTTGAAGACCGATCATTAATCAACATGACAGACTCTGACAGTGTCAATTACAGGAAAGGGCCTTCATTACAGAACCATTACTTCCCATGGGGACTACTAAGGATAGGGCTTCTGTGCCATTTGCACAGGGGGAGAGGAATGTCCCAGCGTCCTTAGGACAAACGGTAAAAAACAGCATTTCAGCCCTGAGAGGGGAGGTACATTCAAATGCTGCAATAAGCTTTGACAAGGTTCAGTTTCTAAACCTGTCTCATCACAGTATATACCAGGCTTTCACCTGGGGTAAAGTCAACTAAAAAATCCCAAACAACAGCAACAACAAGAAAAAAAAAGGAAACAAAAAGAAAAACCCCCAGCACTGTTTTGACTTATATGGTACCGGCTTGAGGTAGTTAAGGATAGCAGAGAGAGAAAAGAAAATGGCACAGAAGTGTGAGATAGGTGTAACAATTTAGATTCATCTACAAGATCATGCAGTGCATGGATACAGAGTCTGGTCCATGAAAAACCTGGCGCAGTCTCTTCTTGGGTTTGCTTTGTCCAAGTCACTTGTAGAGCATACAGTCTGACAACCTGACTCACCTTTCAAGCATATATGTCTCTGAAGGGGATGATAGTTAATAGCCCTAATGAAGGAGAGCCATGATCACAGCCGAAATGACATTGTTACTGCAAACAACCATGGAAAAATCCCACAGTGCTAGACAGGTTAGGAATACATGTAATGGCTAAGAATCATCATATCAAGATTCTGCTTACCAAAATCATACTGGAGAGAGACTTTCCTGCAATACGCTTGAATTCAGGCTTTATAAGATTCAGGTCAACTTCACTTCGAGAAACAATCACCCTTATAAGAGTTCCATCATCTGTGCCAGCCCCCTGGAATAACAGATAGATCAGTCTGTGATGTTACTGGGTGTTCAAGGGATAAGCTGTGCAAACTGGTTCAGGACAGGAGGAGTCAGCTTTCGAACATCATTTGTCCTGCAGAACATCTGCATCCCTTTCTGGAGGGCCAACCCTCACACCCGTCCCAGGGGCCACCATCAACACCACATGCCCACCATGGAAGTGTGCTACAAGTTCTGTTTATGTCAAATGCAAAAGCAAACACGCTACAGAGTCAGAAATCTGCACTGAATACACATTGTGTAGCATCATCCATGCAATGTTTGGCTTCAACCAATATTGTTTAATCACTCACAGGAAAATTAAGATCACATCTATAACAAAACAAATCAGTTATCTCAGCTCTCCAAAAAGTTGGGAGAGCTGACGTCTTTTACATATCAATTAAGTGTTACAGGGGCACAATCTGCAAATGCCTTATGTGTCCCCATTTAGAACTCTCATTTTATACTGCCCTTGAGAGAATTGCTTCCTAAAGAGAAAATACTGTGTTCCAGTCTATTAACATGGAATGCAAAGCTTCACCATAATCAACCCCCTAGAAAAGTTCTTCCAGAGGTTTTGTCTGCGTTCCAGGAAGTGGGATTGGGCTTCTTGCAGACTCTTAAACCAGAAAAACCAGACTCCCTTGGTATCTCAGGCTTAAAGGGTACTTTTCTACTGAAAGTTTTTGAAAGAATTCTGCTACTTTTTGCAAGAATTGCACAAAACTTGCTGCATTTCACCAAAACTTTGGCTCTTCTAGTTTGAGCTGGTGGAAGCCAGGTTACAAGCTAAGTCCAATATGAAAACAAGAGTGTTACAATGAAGAGCCTTACCTTTAAAGCATGGTACAACCTCTCTGCAAAGTAGCAACGGATGTTCCTGGTGCATTTCACTAGACATACAAAAAGGTTCAGTAAGAATCAATGGTAATTCCGGTCCAGGGTAGCAGGTGATTCAGACACAGATTCAACATCCTTTCCATTAATTCAGTGTGCTCCAGAAATCCGAGTTTATCTTACCCAAGAGGCACCCTTTACTACCTGCCAGATACCTTTATAAAGTAGATTCACCTCATAACAGTCAACTACTGCAGGAGAAAAGGCAGCAGATTCAGACAAAGCAAAGGGAAACATCATCACTCTTACCAATAGCCAGCATGGCATCCTCAAGTGAACCATGAGTTTCACTCTTGATAGAGTCTTCTATGCTCTTACCAGCCAGTTTCTGGTATTCTTCAAACACTGTTTGAAACACAAAGAACACAATTTTTTACCAAGGAACCTCTGAGGCATTTTGTGCCCAATATTTGCAGGCACTGCCTGTGTGGTTATATGAACACACAGATCCTGCTAAAGCAAAGGTCACATTTGCACCAGCAGGAGGCTTTAGTCAACCTCAGAAATAAGGCACAAAAATGGATGGCAATATTCACAAAACCCAAACCATCCCTGATTCTTAATTTCTTGCCTTCATTTGAAAATGTAATTTCAGTCATCTCAAGTTCATTTGGAAATCTGACCCTTCACTGCTGTCTTTAAACACAGAAATGAAGCAGAATACAGAAGGTGAGGCACACCTTTGGTCTTGTGGTTGGTGATGTCATTAGCTTCAAGAGCCAAAATAAAATCAACTTTAATCTAGGACTATGCTGCTCATGGCCCACGGACTTTAAAATGATGACCACACATTTTGGGAAAACTTACTATTTCAACCACAATTTTAAAAAGCAACTGAGAAAAGATGAGAAAAACACAGGTGCATATTCCAAGATATTTGACTTCCCACATTAACAAAAGCTCAGGAACAGAGTCACTTTTCACCTTATACACTTTGTATACTCCAGGGTTCAGAAACATAGATATCTGTTTTTATTCCTAGCTTTCAGACTAACAGAGAAGGAAAACTTCTATATAATACAATGGACATCTTAATAAACTTTGCTCAGCATCCAAGACCATCAACACTCAAGACACTTTGAGGAAAAGGAGTACAGAATAGATAGATGGATACAAACTTCTCAACTCAGGCCCACTCTATTAAAAAAAAAAAAAAAAAAGGCTGCAACAATTACACACAGGTTTTTAAGACAATCAGCTCCAGGCTGCCATAGCACAGAGGAAATTGTCTGGTGCCACGGTAGGTTTCAAAGATTGGTTGCATTATGACAACAACTAGACGAATTTTGCTTTTTAAAGGCAGATACAGACAAAGACTCTAGAGGCCCCTTTTCTTTGTGTGTTTATTTTTTAAGTGACCTTGGGAGATTGAATTTGAAACACAAGGGGGAGCTGGCTTCCAGGGCATAGAAACAGCCTCAGAAGACCTCAGCTTGAAAAAGTTCAGACATGCTTAATTTATCACCAGCTACATTTATCAGTTTAGGTCCAGCTGATTTACATAGTACTTGATATGCTTAGATTAAGTCAACATAACAAAATCTGTTATGCCTCAAAAGTCTTGAGATGACAAGGTCGGGTCTCTGCTGCATGGACAGTGAGGAGCTGAGGTTTCTCTTAGCTGGAAAAGGGTTAGTGTCTTCCCTCCCAGCAGACCTTGATGCCTTTTTTACTGATTTTTTTCCCCCCAAAGGAACCACATTCAAGGGGTCATTTGTTTGTCCACCACATGCTCCTTGGTTAGAAAGGGACTCACTCACTCACTTCTTTGGTTTATAAAAACAACTATACCAACCATCCTGTTATCAGCACTGTATAAAGGACTCCTAGATAAGCCACTTGGTTTTCAGCAGAACTAAGTCTTCATAATTTTTCATAGAAGCTGCTAGCAGCTTTTGGTTACTGAATGACTAAGGATTAGAAAATAGACTCAGGTACTTGTTTCCGACCACCCATCTCTTCCACCTATAGCCCTCTCTCTTCTTTTTGGCTAGAGTGATTTCTCATTCCAGAGCTTGGGAGTGTGGGCTTTGCTCCATACCTTTCAGTAAGTGTGTGGCACTCCTTTTGCACAAGATGGTGATGAACTGTATCTCATCAGTGCCCCGTATCTTCTCTCCAGCAGCATAGAGAGTCTGTAATTTAACACACAATTATTAGTGAGATGTTCTGTGTGTGCAGCTGGTAAAGGAACAGAGTTTGTCTGAAGGCATCACTAGGGTAAAGGGGTTTGAAGTAACTTAAAACACCGTGTGAACTAGGGTCTTCTAGAATGGTTGATTATGAAAACCTTTGACTGTCTTCTAGACAAATTGGAGCAGCTGCTATCTCCATCCTTTCCATCCTTCCTGCAGCAGCTGGAGCAGCCAACAATACTGTGGAGGTTTCTTCCCTCTTCTTTCCTCTTCCACTCTACTATATCCATACACTTCACACATCAAAAGCAGCTGAGCACAAGCCCAGATCTCATCACTCCTCTTTGGAATGGCAAAGCTCAGCAGTGCAGGCAAAACTGAAGAACCCCAAGTTGCTTACTTGAAGATCACCCCACCCCACACTATTGGGAGTCCAACCCTCTGATAACCAGGACTCTGTTGCCCACTGAAGCACTCTGAATTTTAGGAAGGTGGGGATGCAGACATATCTGAGGCATATCTGGCATATCTGCAGGCATATCTGATCACAGGCATTTGAGAGTACCTCTGCATCCTGGAGAGCCAGGGCTGTGTCCACATAGAGAGTGGCATTGTCTCTCTCACCCTGTGAGAAGAAAAAGGAAGGTAACCATTTTGCTTCAAAGATTCTTCCATCAATAAGGATCACAGCATCTGTTCTAGGCAAAGATCAATTATCCTTCTCAGCTATCTATTACTGCAGAGTGCTCAAGCAGTAATGCTTCAGACAGCACAAGTGCTAACTCCTTCTCTGAGAGGCACTGAAATCAGTCATGAAGTGGAGTAAAAAAATTCCTCAGTTATTCTGCTGCTAGGCAGAAAAATTGAGAAAATGTGATAGAGTAAATGCATCTAAATACACTCAACATCAAAGGCACAGACCCTAGAAAAGTGATGAATCATAGTGGAGGGCCACTGTTTTCTAAGACCCTTGTAGAGTGCAGTGGCTTTACACATACAGAAAAGTGAGGTGTCTCCCTGCAGCAGAGCAGGCTCTAAGATTCCATCTCTTATTGCTGCTAAAGGATGGAGAGTTCCCTGCTTCAGTACATGGAAGCTGAAACAGATCCACTCCAAGTGACATGGTTGTCTCTGCAGTTTATCTGGTGATCATGACTGTACTGGCTTTTCTATTGCATGTCTTCTCAGAAAAGGAGGAAAATAATGACATGATCTTTATACCCTCATTTCTCTTTTCTAGCATTACCTGAAGAAGGCAAACCAGAATCTGTTCTAAGTAGCCACTTGTTTCCGATTTTATATCTTCTTCCAGATCAGAACCATATTCTACCCAAAGGAAAGAGAAGGACAAGGGAAGGATTTGTTATTTGGGTGGTATAGTCAAGATATTACCAGTAACCAAAGGATGATGGTCAAAAAGGTAATTAGGGAACAAAATAGGGCTGAGACCACACCCTCAGTGATACCCAGGCTGGCTCTTGCATCCAGCTGAGTCACTAGCTCCCCTGATGCCCAAGAAATAAACCCAGAGCTAATGTTAGAGGTATAGTTAAAGGGATCAAAGAGATCAAATATTTACAAATACATATTTAATAAAATCCTATCTATTTAATGGGGAGAAGCAGTCAAGTGCACAGCTCTAGTTTTGCTTGTGTTCTGACAATAGCCCTTGTGGCCGAACTGAGCCAAATCTGTGGTTTGCTGACCCTCTGCTGCAGCTGGATGAAGACCTAGAAAGGGATTTTCAAATTATCTCAGCACAGCCATGTTCTATTTGCCAGGCTGAAAACAAAGTTAGGTTCCACCTTCTGGCTTTTAAAAAAGCCGTTTTCCTGCTGACAGTGCTAGCTGGTAACACCATTAGTGCTGTGCAATCAGGCTCATTGCTCTGACCACAGAAATCTGAGCCCCAGGCACCTACCTTCTTTGTAAGCCTTGATTATCTCTTTGATCTGTGCTTTAGTCCGAGATGCCAAGATCTCTATGATAACACCTTCACTGGTTCCCACACCCTTTAATAGAAAACACAGTGGAGAAATAAAGGTGGAGAAAAGGATCCAGTCATGGAGTGTGATTTATTGCTAGAAAAGTATGGTCAAGGGAGGCGTTGGATAGCAGCTGTGTCAGGCTGTGTGCTGAGCTGTAAGAAACTGTCATGATGAAAGCTGGAGACAGAAAGCACATTTGATTTGAACACGATTTCTTTTACTGAGGTGCCTAATTTGTCAAGGATGATTTTATGAAACCCCACACTTCTGCAACGCATTTCTGGAGTCAGATCTTTGACAACAGACAGCATTAGAGGGATGTGGGGAGACCAATGCTTGGCTAGACAGTCATCTTTGGACCACTTTAATAGACCACTCTGCACCTGAAACATGTAAAGATACAGTACCAATAGGTAGGATCCCAGCTAAGCCCAGCCTGGCCCTTGCACCACCACTCCTTAATTTCTTAAAGGTTTCATGGCTCAGGTGGGGCATCAGGGCAGCAGCTTTGTGTGTGAATTTAGAATCAGAGAATATTCTGAGTTGGAAGGGACCCACAAGGATCTTCAAGTCCAACTCTTCAATGAATGGCTCCTTCAGGGACTGAACCCGCAACCTTGGGGTTGTGGCAACAGCAAAACCATGAGACACACATATACAGAAATTCTTTTATAGCCATAACCACAATATGCATTAATAATACAATTAACTATTTCTCAAAGGCTACTGCTAATAACAAACTTAACAAGGGAACAGTCCACTTATTACTAATTACATTAATAAGCACAGTTACAGGAATTTAGCACTGCATTTGTGCTATTACGTAAATATCAGCATGCAATTTGCTTACCTTCATGGCATCATACAGCTCCTTGGCATCATACTTGAATGGGGGGTACATGAGAGCTACAATGAGCCTCTCAAAGTTGCCACTCAGTTCAGACTTCAGACTTTCAATCAGATCCTGTTAAATATGCATCACATAGTTACATAAACAGCTTCACAGGATCTTTTTACTGCCCGTGCTGTTTCCATCCCCATGGCCTAAGTAATGAAGCTGAGTGACAGTATTGTGTTGATAGTTCATTAAAAAAGGTCCTGGGACTGAAATGGCACCTAACTCCAAAATGTGATTTGTCTAGGTGCTTCCGCATTCCCTGTTTTCTCAATACTTAAGCTTTTCCCAAGTAGTAAATCATCCTGCAGCAAATCTTTCTCCATCCTGCTCTAGTTAGTGAGCAGATTAGGCAGCTGAAGGCCTTGAATTGAACACAGGTGTAGCTTCAGGGAAAGCTGATTCCCAAAGCCTGAACATAAACTTGCACCCGGCACATTTGCAGAATCAGGCATGAAGTTTGCTTGAAGAAACACTTCAAGTTTTCCTTTCACTACAGTGCAGGTTTTTCGAGGGTATGACTGTCTTTGTTTTAGTGGGATGCAAGCATTCTATTTATACACTGTTCCATATTTGCCACTCCCACATTTGCTTCCTTTTCTGGGGCTCTTGCATGGCAGTTCTGTTTCCAGCAAAGGGTCATTGGAGACTCCAGAGTAGGGCTGGTAGCACAGCTGGCTTGTGGAAAAGTTTTCCCATTAAAAGTAAGATTTTTATCAAAGAAACAAAGAGAGCCACAGGAAAACATGGTTGTCAATAACCAAGATTGTTTTCATGTTCAGAATTTCCAAACAACTGTAATTAAATAAGTCTTTAAATTGAACTTTCCGTGACACTTAAAAAGGCCTGAAACCAAACCAATATTTTACTCAAAATATCACTTAAAAAAATATCAATTTTTGGTACAGCTTCAAAAACAATAAAAAGCTACACTCTAAGTTGAAACTGATTTTTAAAAAGTGTTTCTTGTCAAAATGCATTTTACAAAAAAATTTAAGTCTTTGGGAGAAAACCAAGTTTTTCTGATCAAAAATTAATTTCCCACATTCATCCCAGGCCTTATAAATAGATATTAATCTAGTTGTTTGCAGAAGACCTGCGTATTGTTTGCATCATGCTTGCAGGATGAACTGTACACCCATTTGCTACATCCCAGCTGCAGTAAAACAGTGACTGAATATGGCTTTGCTTTGGCAGAACCTTTCCAAACTGTGCTTTGAAGGATTTGGCAATCTCTTGACGCTGTATATTGCTCCTCTTGGTTAGGACATCAATTATAGCTTGTTCATCAGTCCCTGTGGAGAGCAACAATAAGTCATAAACACAGAATAAGCTGAGACTAGTCCAAAATCCCAGTTTGAATATTCAGATAACTCTGCCTAGTTCATTGCCTTCATGTAGAAATTTAAGTACATACTATGGAAACTTTAATTTTTCACATGAAAAAAAGTTATATCTCCGGATGCAAATTTCCTAAGGAATGGCTTTCAACTTAGCAAGTATAAGCAAAACTAGAATTTACATATGTGGTTGGAGTCAACTCACCAAGCCCTTTCATGGCCTTGTACAGAGTCTGGGCATCAGGTGCAGCATCAAACCGTAAAGCACCTGCCACAGACTTGCCCTCTTCTTCACTCTGAAAGAAGAAAAATACAGGACTTTTCACTGCTGTATTTCATCAGCTGAAGAAAAGGCATTTGAAAAGTACAATAATGCCATTTGTTGCCTACACATGGGGAGTCCCAGAAAATAGGAGAGCCTGTTTCAAAGTTTCTCAGCAGAGCAAAAAGAGAACACAAGTTTCTCTCCAAAGAGAACACAAGTTTCCTGTCTCCACCTGTCTGTACCAGCCTTTGGCTCCCGGCAGAAACATGAAGTGCAAAGCATGGCTGACACTGTTGCAAGAGTCAGCAGGCAGTGCAGGCAGTCTGGCAGAAAAACCTCAGACTGTAATAGATTGGACTTTCCTGTTCACCCCTTAAATACAGTGCTTCGCAGCATGTATGCTATAGCATCATACTGCATTTCCCAGTGGGTTGACGCAGGGTAGTTTTTAGGTAGCTTTTTGATTTCCTGGAATAGTCTTGCTCTCACAAGCCATTTTTCTAAGTAGCTGCTGCTGCAGTTCTGCACAGCTGGTTCCAGGAAGGAAGCATCTCCACTGGAAGGATTTGGGCTAAGAGACTACTTTGAAGGAAGAGATACATCCAGAGGAGTGCAGGTTTGAGTTCTTTGCTGTACCAAGGGCCAACTACACAAGAATCCCCCTGACAGACCCCTAAGGTACCAATAGTGCCAGAGTTCCAGGGCAGAAAGACACACTGAGAATTATTTCAGTCACCACAAGGTAAGCAAGGCAATCAACCAAAACCCAGGCATAAAAGCTTTGATTTAACATAGCTTTTAGTCAAGGGACTGCCTTGGATATAGTGTCACATCTCTAACAAGCTGGTCCTATCAACAGGAGAGTATGTGGGTGGATAGGCATGAAGAGTCATAATCACTTTATTCCAATAAGACAGTTTTCTCTTTCTTAGCAGCAAAGATATTTAAGTTGGAAACAACTATATTCTCATAAATTTACTTTCAAAGATTGTGTTAATATTGAATTAATGGTATCAGTATGACCTGCTGGATTTTTCAATGGGGGTGACTTCCCGGCCAGAAAAAAATCAGAGCTCACAGGCCAGAATGTCCTACCTGACTTGCATAATATGGACCACCAAGTGCCACCCACCAGCCTCCTGCTGTGATGCAAATACCCTCTGCTCTTATTTCCTGTGAGAGAGTACCAGTAGATACAGCTGGCACATGTTTGCTTGCTGACCCCTTTGCCAGCCAAGCTCCAGGAGCAGTGACAAGGGACCAAGAGGCAATGATGAGTATTGAGAGAGGCAGTATGTTCATCAGTCAGCAAGACTTGGAGAAGTTTGCTTTACAGCCAGCACAGACTCCTGCAATACCACACCTTGTCCCAGCAGAAAGAGCAGCTGTGAAGCAGATGGTGTCAACGGGAAACTTCTCAACAGATGAAGCTTTGAATTCAAATAATCACTGAACAGCAAGTTTAAGGCTGTGGTGAAGCTGTCACTGCACAAAAAGCAGTGACACACTAGGTAGTATTGCCATCTCATTGGCTGAGGTGTCTGGCTGAGCTGGCAGGTGTACCTTTTGTAGCCCTCTGCTAAGACAACCAGCACCATCGCAGCTTTCTGGGAAAGCAGGCTGCACCCATCCCATGTGATTTTGCTCTGAAAAAGATGGTCAATCCTCTCTAGCTGCATGCAAGCAACATGTGAAAAAAAAAACCCCAACATTCTGGACGCATACCTGGTGACTCAGTCAAAGAGGGAGTGCAAAGCTGAGCTTTCATTTGGAGGCAGTGGAAACAAATTAAACAATGATCTCTTTTGGTACTAATTCCAATAAACAGTTACGGCCCTTCCTGGGTCAAGTAGCACACTCATGACTCACTCATACACCTCATTCTCCATGTACATAATTGTTGCAGCACAGGTACAACCACATCAACTTTTCAGAGAAACCCTGTTCAGTATGGTCTTGTTTCCCGGTTGAATTGATCCTACTACTACCTAACCGAAACTATTCAAGGCATTTGTGTCACTCTTAATGTAAATCTGAATAATTGGCATGAAAGCAGTAGAATCAGTGTACCTGACAACTGATGCTCTGAAAAGTTTTACCTATAAATGAAAGGAAGGATTAAAAGCTTTACTACCAAAATATCTTCAAAACTAAACAATAGTTTATTGAAAAGCTGGAATTTGGGGACAGGTAGGATTACATTTTGGGTTTTTCTCAGTAGCAAGTTTCTCAGAAAGTTTCACACTTTTTCATTCTTTTTTTCGCCTTTGAACTGTATTTTTTTATGACGGGTTTAGAAAACCAAAACAATTTTTCCCCATCCTTCCTTGGGCCTCTCATTTTCTTTTCATGCCTCCATCCCCTACAACACCAACTAGCAAGAGATCACTGGAGTTTTCAGGGGCTTTTCTCTTTCTTTTCTCATTCTAAGTTTAGAAATTATTTCCAACTTGGAGTAGTGGGGAGCAGATCAGCAGAAAGAGAAAAATTAAAGTGAGAGCTACTCTAAGCTTTGGAAATGCATCTATTTGATTATACTAAACTTCCAAAAGGAAAGAGCAAGGCAGAGGGAACTCAGGAGAAAGGAAGATTACAACTTTAATCTTTTTTGGGGGGGGAAAAAACATTTTGAGATTATGAAAGTTTGCTATCTGAATCCTTCTGAAGGAAAGTAGGAATTAGCTTGGCAATCTCTGTTCCACAAGGTATTTTGGGTTTAGTTTGGTTTTTTAATTCTGGTCCTTGCCCCTCAGTTGCAAAATTGTAACTGAGAACCTGAACAATTGGTCACGTCCATGCAGAGTAGTTTCTTCCTCCCTGATGGCTGCATTGCATTGGAGGCAATATAATACACTAAAACAGCTCTCCTAGGATTCCCAGGTACTTTTGCTGGCATGTGGCAGGGAAGCCCCTCATCCCCTGCTCAGCCACCAGCAGCACTACCCCAGCTGGGAGAGGAGCAGCAGCACTGGAGCCTCGGTGCAGGTTTACCCTTTGCACAGGCTGCTTAAACATGAAGCCGTCTTCACAACAAGAAGTGAGGGAACTCTGGGACAAATCCTTCAACAAACAAGCCAAAAGCATTCCAGAGAAAGCCTGTGCACTACTGGCAGAGGTGCTGGGCAGGGGTTGGAACAGTAAAAGAAGACTTCTCTACCAGTACTCCTCCACTGCATGTCTCCAGCAGGTCTCTTCTAGGCTTTGGCTTATAGTTATCTGGAGATGAAATCTGGGGGTAAAACCTGGCCTCCCACAGAGGCTAATGGGAGAGCTGCCATGGATGGCAGCAGAACTGGGCACATCACCAGAGCTACCTGCTGCCTGGCTGGAGCTCGACCCTGGAGGCTGCCTCGGCACACCCCATGAGCATCTCCCATCCTGCCAATTCCTCTCAAAGCCACAAGAGTTTACAAGAGAACATACACAGCATTTCTGGCTCCTAGCAAACAGACAGGGTATTCAAGGACACGTTGTTGCAATATTAAAGACCTACCCAAGAAAGACATTATGGCTTGACTATATCTTTCTCTGTGACCACAGCCTGCCAGCACAACAGGGGACCAAAATGGGGACAGACCAGTGCCCTGAACTCACACTTGGCCACAAGAGAAGGGAGCAGACAAGGAGCCCGCAGCTTGCAGACCTCAACTGTGTAACTTTGCTCTTCCGTGGTACCATCTCCCCGTGCACACAGGCACACAAATACCCCCCTGCACCACTCTCAACTGAAGGGCCAGGCAGAGTCTACTCCTCTTCTTATAGCCAGCAATCATATTAACACCTTCATTCATCAGTGTTTTTGAAATGCTGAATGCTACTGTGCAGCCAGAAGAACAGTAAACAGGTCTTGCTGATTTTTAAAGGAAACTTTTCATTCCCCCACAGTGCCTGATACAACTTATAAGTTACCTTATTATAGTGTCAAAAAAGGGTGTCAATATATCCTCTACTTACCCAGGCCTTCCACCACGCCATTGCAGCCTCAGTAGTGATACCTGGGTCTGTTGATGAAGAAAACCACGCATATCATACCTCATAGTTAGGGAATCTGAGATTTGAAGGGAGGCATAGGGAGAAGAGGAAGAAGCAAAAGTTCTTTTCAATAAACTTACCGCAAGAAAAATGGAATAACTGTACTCCTCTGGAGGCTTGTTCCCTCTGGAAGCCACAGAATGTAACTGACCTCTCTGTATTAGGCATACGCAGGTATAAAGCATCCTTATCTACAAATTCCACAGGGCAACACCCTCAGACATGGCTCAACCTGTTTTTCACATATGAGCTCACAGGGAGAGATCAAGTTGCTTAATAAACGAGGCTTCCCTTGTGAGGAGCCCTACGTTCAACCTTGTTGACTCACTGTAATGTTTCCACTGCTTCTCCCAACATACGCCCTTCCCTGCTAACATTTTGGCCTCTGGCACAGACACAACATGCAAATTACGACTAGGTAATTTCTCAGTTTAAAACTCCACTGAGACTAGGTGAATTCTGCTACAATAGAATAAGCCATTCGTTATTACCAACTCTTGCTGTCTCTACCAATCTGGAACACTGCAAAATGGAACTCTAGAAACTTAAACTCTCCTCTACCTCCCTTCCTTCAAAAACTTAACCCCCCCCAAACAACCACAAAAAATCCAAAACAAACAAACAACACACCCAGCCACACTCCATACCATCCATGTCCCACACCTTAGAGTGAAACTCAGTAAAAATATCAGATTGTACAGAGACTTAGGAGGTTCCCCCATCCTACACCTAGACTTTCACAATATCAGTCACAAACCATCTCTAGGGTAGCATAGGACCAGCATATCTAAGGCTAAAAACTTTCAGTAGTGCCTCAGCAAAGTGGTCATAGAGCTTGCACCATCTGCTGTGACATGTTAGGGCTTAGGAACTGAGCGTGAAAGTTTTCTTTTTTTAAAAAGAAAAAACCCCCTAAACCCCAAACAGCTGAATAGCTCTAAGTACCTTAATTTGGAGAAATGTTTCTGTGAAATCATCTGAAATATCTTATGGTTGTAGCAATATTTTCCTGTCTAGACTTTAGTCAGAATCCACCCATGCCAGCATTTATTTATTTACTTTCAGTGGGAAGCTACCCTGATGGAAACATTCCCAGTAACTATATCTTAACCCTTGCTATGTAGGAGCTTTGTGCCCTCCCACATTTACAGACACACATGGGATGCTGGGTAAACACCAAGCTATGGGCCTCTCTTATTTCCTTTGCACACACTGCTATTTCACTTAACTCAGAAAGGTCTCTGATGGCCTGGGAAGTTGCCCTGGCTATTCCCAAGAGAATGAGCAATGCCAGCTGCTGCTGCCTCCAACACATCCATCATATGGTGAGGGTAAGTTGTGAAGGAGACATTTCCCTTGGTATAACAAGCATGCTGCTGGGTCTGCACTGGCTTTCTTTCTAGCCATGTTTGAGAGGCAGGTTGATCAACAGTAGGAGAGCTCATGAGCGGTCCTTCAGTCGTCCTCCTCCTGGGAGTAAGGTGCCTTCACAAGTAGGGTGCATTTACTTTTGCTGGATCCCAATATTTGCTGCCCTTTTCCCTGGGTTGGGATTTAATTTGTAGTCCATCATGGACTACAAAGGATATGAAGGGACACACCAGGAGATTTTAATGCATAGAAACACTAGCCAGGTTTTAAGAAATCAGTCTCTTGCCCTAGAAGCTTGCAGACAGACTTACACTGTTACTGTGCAAACTACACTAGTTTCATCCTACAGATTTTAAGCCACAATATAAACAAGCCCAGAGACCATGCACTATCTTCTGCAACTCTTTTGTTTATTTTCTTCTTCCTTTTCTTCCTGCTTAAATGGATACAAGCAGCTGAATGCCCTCATAATTCTTAAGAGCAAATGCCTTTCCATATACTAATCAGTTCACCGTCACCTGAAATCAGATCTCTAAATGGGAGAGCTGTGTAAATTTGCCAGCAAACCAATCCAAACAAAGTTATTGTCTGTTTATAAATGAAGTGTGAGCTGGGTGGGGAAAAGGGTCAGATGGTGAAGGCAGCAGTTTTGAGCAAGAAGAGTATCTGTAATGCAAAAATAAAGTTGCTAAAGCCTAAAAAAACCTGTACTCACCTACCTGGCAGCTCACTACTCACCCTGCCCTTTCAGCTCACTACTCACCCTACCCTTTCCTCTTGTGCTTTTGAACCATGTTTCACAGTGAAAATGACCCCAAAAAAGGTTTATTTCCATTTGAAAATCAGTAGCACAGCTTAATTTTCCCAGTTTCCTTTCTTCACTACAGCAAGCAGCTATGAGCCAAGTATCATAAGAGAAAATTCACATGTGTATGTTGTGGGGGATGTTCAATCACAGAAGAAGCAATAGAGTAAAAACTCGGGGCTTGATTCCCCTCAGCATCTGGGTAGCTCAGGAGGTCGAGCCCCCGGTGACAGCGGGTACAGCCAGTGTTGTGGGGACTCCACCCAGAGGTTTGCAAAGGTTAGTGAAGGGTGCATTGTCTTTGCTTTTAGGATCACCTTTGCTGTCCGGAGTCTGTCTGCTGTGGGTGGGAGAGTGAGGGCGAGGCACTTAACACGGACACAGCAGAGCACATCCCTTTGGCTTGCACTGCCTCTGCACTGCTGCTGACTCTGGCTGAGCATTTTTCTGCTCATTCCTTTCTTGGGTTAGTACTGGTGCCAAGGAATTCCTCCCAGTCGCCCTAACAACCGTTCCCCACACAAAGCAGGCAATTGCTGTACTTGTTTAACCCCAAAGGCCAATAAGGAAAGCACCTTCTGAGTCAAAATGGTTGAAGGCAGCTCCCTTGGGTCTGATGGGACATGACAGATGCCAGGAGTTCTCAGCAGAGAGTGGTAGGCAGCACTTGGGAAGTCTTTGGATACTTGCCTGTGAAGTATTTTGTGTATGTACCTACCTCCCTCTGTGGGGATTGGGTTTTTGTGTACTCCTTGATGGAGTAAGTACAGGTGTATGTATACAATTAAACACAGTTCTTCTGCTTGAAATTACCTGTGATGGAGACAGACTCACACAGAGCAACCTAAGAACTAAAAAAGAGAAAAATTTTCTCACATCCCTGAATGTGTATGAGTCCAGCTTCTTGTAGCAAGGCAGGAACATACCCTTTACTGCTTGCATTAACTGGCATGGCCAGCCTGTCTTGGTAAGATACTATTTTCTCCAGCTTTTACATGCTTAATAGTAGGGAGAAGACATAAATTACTTTTACTTACAGTAGAAAAATAGCAGGTTTGTTACACTGCCTGCAAGGTGCACAGTGTAGTGTCCAGCCTTCTTGACCAGCTAAGGTATATACCAATATCATTATGACAGGGTCATGAGGCACAACTCACATACTACGTAGCTCAGAGAGAAGCCTTTGGTTAGGCACAGGAGACAATCACAACTCTTCAGAAATCCTACTATTCTGCTGAGGGCTGGGGTAGGCTGGACACAGCTGGGACCAGGGCCACCAACACCTGATGCCATCCTTTGTAGCCCCTAGTGGCTTGCTTCACTCTGCAGCAGGAATTGAACCAGCAGCTCCTCTCACAGGCTCACCCTGATGCTGGTCTTGCAGTACTGTCCCAAAGTAGCAGCTGCATCTGGATGACTGAAGATCCACACAGAGTTCAGGGATTGTGGAGTAATCTGTACTGAAGGTTAAAAACCAAGAGAATATGGTGTCACTTCAGATTTTCTGGTAAAATTAAAGGTAATACTTACTAGTGCTTCAGGGAACATCCAGCTTTGGCATTGGCTCCTCGTCTGCTTGTATATCTCATTTTGATTGCATTTAGTGTTCTTTTTCATGTTCTTCTCCACAACTGGTTTGCCCTGAGATTTGAAGTGGCCATATTCCAGCCTAGAGCTGGCTACACTGAAGACAGTATCCTCGAGAACACTCTGTGAGATGCTACTACTTCAACTAGTCTAGCAATGATGGCTTATAATTGCTCAGTGGCACAGTCTGGGAGCACTGCATAGTAGTACTGTGTCTTGGTGCTAGTACCAAGGGCCTAAAGCACTTCAGATCATGGCCCTGTTGAGTCTGAAGAAGTAGGGAGCCAAAGAGTAATCACTGGTTTAAAGAGTGCACAGATTATTAGGACATGATGTTTTATCATGACATTGTCATCAAAAGAAACAGGTGTGTACAATTGATACACTAGGAAGAACATTTCCATGAGGTGTGGATACTTCTCTGTGTTCCTCTGTCACCTGTAAAACCAGTGGAAAGTCCCCCAGTCATTTCTGTCTGAGCTGAGCCAGATGCATGGCCTTTTGGTTGATTTTGGTTCTCCTCCCTTTGCTGCAGAATTGCAGTGACACCACTGAAGTCAGTGTGGTCATGCCAGTTACATCAGCAACACTGCAACTGGTATCCAGATCTCTCTTGGTGGACATAGAAGAGGCATCTCAAAATCTTGACAAAGTTAAAAAAAGGCAAAGAGACATAAAGTATTGCTTCCCTCTCTTGGGACTATAGCATTCAGTCTCTATTCAAGAACCTATGAGCTTCATCACATAAGCAGATTGGGAACATTTAACATAAGCATTCACTTGCACTGTTGGGCAGGAGCAAGGCTTTGATAACCTGTCCATTCAAGGTATGGACAGGTTGCTGAACTAGATCTGACAACAGTGTGGACACATACATCCTCCCCTCACCCAGATGCCAGCTGCTAGGACCTGTTGAAAAATTCACAGCTACTGGGAATGTGTGAGGGGGAATTGTTTGGGTTTGCATTTTACTGTGTGCTTACACAATGGCTGTTCCTTCCTAAGATAAACCAACTTATTTCATAAATTGTTTTTGTAGTAACAAGAACAGAAAAGAGGGCAAATAATCTTATAACAGAGAAGACTTTTTTATTATAAAGGACCTAAAAATAGCAATACCACTGCTGAAACAGCCATCTCTCCTTAAACTGAGGGCTGTGGTCTAGCTGTGTTAGTTGAAAATCTTCCAAGTGTT